AGAATTACACTTTCGTGGTCAATGTTGCTATTACTAAAACTAGAAACTTGGCTTTGAGGTAGAGTCTTGAACAAATAGTTAAAAAGTTCTTGCATTTTCGATGGAATGCCCTTATTTGGCAATGAAAAACGGGCATAGCTGTGTCGAGTAGTGTATAAATGTCACAATTTAAGAACTCATACAAAGCAATCAAGTAATGAAACAACTAAGTAGTTTTATAAGAATTGGAGAACAATTGTTTGAGTTATCATATAAACAAACAAAAGTTCACAGCAAAAAAACGATAAACAGCGTTGCTTTGTCAAGTGTACATGTGATATGCCAAAACGCGGAAAGTTGAAACTCAACAGAAAAACCTGAAATATATGTTGAACATTATTGCTTCTAGCATTACTGTACAAAATTTGAAAGGAATTAATTAAAAAATTAAAAAGTTCTTGCATTTTCTACACAAAGCCCTTATTTGTCAATAAAAGGGGCATAACTGTACCAAAAACACACGTAAACTTCCGAAATGCTAATTCATTTGTGCAATATGTGTACCAAGTTTCATCGAGATATGTCCATGAATAAAGGCAGGAGAGCGATGACAAAAATTACCGGACGGACATCAGGACATCAATCAACGCAGCCCATACAATAAAAAATATGTCCTGTCGGGCGACGGACGTATAAAAATGGTTCTGCTTTGTATTGTATGACGATAAAACTGGAAAACGAAATGTATGTCATACCCTTGCTGCATGTATATTTCAAAAATTCATTTTAGAATATCAATGTAAAGGTAACACAAGAAAACCCAGATACTCAGACCTGTGTTTCAGCTCATTCAATGTCAGAGGGGTTTTCATATTCATCGCTATCAGTCTCCTCAGTCACCTCATCCTCAACATAAACCTCATCCTCATCATAAAGCTCGTTGTCCCCATCAATCGTTGGCCTAACTTTTAACTTATCATACAGATCGCGCATCTCAAGCTCCTGTTCAGTGTCATCAAGTGTTGCCCATCCAAGGCGGACTCTGTGAACAGCTGAACAGCCACCAGAATTGATGTCAATACCAGCAAAACTGTGCAGATATCCTATTGCTCCATTCGGTGCAACACAGATGCGCTCTCCTCCACCCGGCCCTCCCCAAGGGCCGTAACTCTTGCCAAAATTTGTCTCAAACTTGATGCTGTCCATCATCCATCCACTCTTTATGACAACCTTGGTGATGTATTCACAATCTTGCAGGGTGAAGCTCTCGACCTTTGTGCAGTATGGAGAATCAGCAGCCAGCCCACCTTGTGTTACTGTGTTGTCCGAGTATCTGAAGGTTAAACCTCCTACAAGTGGGTTTTCCTGCGGATGTTGTGACCAAAATCTTAAGTGCACATCAACTGAGGTGATAAGTGCCTCTTTACTTGGTCTTGGTAGACCAAAGTGACATCTTAGAAAAAAGTGTACCCCATCTTGACCTCCTACTGCATATGCCTTGGGGTCATACATGTACCCATTGATCTTTGGTCTCCTCGGCGAAAGCCAGATACTGGAGTTTTGCTGTGAAGGTTCTGAGCTTTCCTGAAAGGTTTTGGCAGCATCCACAATATTTTTCACAGCATTGTTTTGGCAGAGTTTAGGATACTTGGACATGTGCTCTGTTATCATTGCATGCTCTATAAGAGGAAGTCGAACGGCATTAAGCAAAGACACTGCATTTTCTGTACCACATTTGGTTCTGTCTATGTAGTGAAGTACACCCTCTAATAGACTAACCTCTTGTTCTGCAGGTGGCAAAATGACCCCATCTCTGGAAACTACAAGTCCCTCCTGTTCTAACACCCCCAGAAACATTTTCATTGTTACCAAGGTGACAAAATCCTCTGTGCTGCTGATATTTTCAAACTCAAGCATAAACATCAGCACAGCTTTCTTGTTAAGCGTCATGGCGTTGTACTGGTCAGCAAGGCACCATGTCCTTATGCAGCTGGACTTGTCGAGATTGTCGAGTAGGTATCTCTCACAAGACTCTTTCACGAAAACCCCCTGCAGGTAGGAGGAAGCTATGAACAGTGCAGCAACATTTTCCATGGAAATTTCAATCTTACCGGTATAACCGAATGTCAGGATTTGGCACAATGAATCAAATTCTACTTCATGCAGCTCTGCTTCATCCTTTATGCCATTGACATCCATGTGAAGAAGGGTTTTGAAGTATTCAGAGAGAGAAGTAAGTATAAGACGATGAGTCGGTATGCTGTCCTTACCAACCCGCAATGTGATGTCACAGTAATCCTTGTTGGTCCAAGCTGTATAAAATGCTTTCTGGAGGGAGCTGCCATGCTCAGAATATACATATTCTGTTGTTTTCCCTAAATCTGGATACTTTTCCACACTTGTCTCCATTTCACCTTTGAAAAAAACACACAAAAGAAGTGATCATTTTTTGTTTAATTACATGCAATTAACAAATCTTAAACCCTTTTGATCAACATACTATTTTACATTATTTAACTCATTCACCCCTAACTTTTTAAAATGGACATGCCCAGTCTTTGAATTTGGTAAGGTTTAACATACCAGTGTACATATTTCGATATATATGTCACACAGAGACATAAATAACATAGAAAGGCAATATGTTATGACAAGTACCTTATCTGGTCCTCAAAACTGCAATCAACAACACCAAACTGCCTGGCTAAAGATACCTCTGACTATATATACCTACTAAATCACTGAAGCCTCCCCCAAAAAAAACACTTTATGTAGCATATAGGTACATGTAATTAGCCTGTTACTCATGATAAACATCATCTATTGATGACATGAATATATATCCTGGATCACAATGTTAATAATTACAAACAAATAGCATATATATTGTGTCTACATTTTAGACACAGTACCATTATGAGGGGTTGGTCATACCTTTGAGTAATTTTGTGCCAAGAATTTGAGCCTCAAACTTGTGTTCTACAGCACTAAATTGCCCAGCCGAGAAAAAAACTGTGACTAATAGGATGACAAAATGGAAGCTTGGTGATACATGAATAGTACTAATATTTATTAGCCGCATTAAACCCATTTTGGTCTCTGTGGAGCATAACATAAAGATAGATTTATACCCAGCCTCCACTGATGACTCAACCTATTTAATTAACGGTGTCATAGTCAGAAGCTATGTTATCGCAGCTATGAAGCTTGGATGTTGCTTTTGGAGATGCACACACACCTTTCATTAGCTCACAATAACATTGGGTTTGTTGACAAAGCTACATCGCATGTAGCAATATTTCTCTTGCTGCTACAGTATAGTTTAGTTGACTGCTGGATTCGTTCTTAACAGAAATAATTACGATCAGTTGCAGCAGAATTTTTCATTTTTTTCAAGTCTGTATTGTACAATATCTAAGCACAAGGGATCGTTACAAATGTCTCATACACATACTCACATGGGTCACAGCACACATAAACATAACAAGAGGCCCAGAGGGCCTGTATCGCTCTTCTGGATATCAAAGTAATCATGTCAAAATATTCTCCAAAGGAATGGGCCAGACCCCAAGGACAATGCTTGTATCCTATCTGTATTAGATTTTTCATGCCCAGCCATTTTATGTATGGTTATGGGGTGGGACTTTCAACTGTTTCCAAGGTGTGACTCAGAAACTAGGTCCCTAGGATTGTGGACAGACCCCAGAATCAATTATAATATCATGACTGCATTCGACTCGTTATGCCCAGCATTTGTATATACAGTTTTGGGGTGGGGATCTTAACAGTTTCAAAGTTATGACCCAGAGGTTTAAGTCTTCGAGGGTAGGACAGGAAAATTTTGCTGACAACATTTTAAGTGTTTTGTCCATGGCACAGGACCATGAATTCATTCAGAGCATTATACACTCAAAGAACAAAGTTCCTTCCATCATCTGCTACACCAATGCTCAAATTTTGGATATCAAACGTCTTTGCGCCAAACGGAATGGACAGGTCAGGCGCGTAGCTGCCTATAGGCAGAATAGGCAACTGCCTACACATAAAATTTCATAAATACACTTTTTTTTACTGGTCCTTGTTTTTGTCGATTACATCAGAGACCTAAAGTTAATTTAGGTCTATGATTACATGTATAATTTTGCTTTTTGACTGTCTTCGGATAAAGTTTTTTCCCGTCCCCGGGCCGTCATCAACGAGCCGTTCCCTTGCCGTCAAGTTTTCTTTTAGAAAGCCTATGTCTGATCGATAATCTTACAAATGCTTGTTTCATATGTAACACACGCATATATTGTATCAGAATCTGACATTGATTAAACTAAAGTTTTTGCAAAGTTTTCAATCTCTTCGTCGGCTCGGTATGTCACCTCCTTACCCCGACATTGATAATTCCGATTTAACTATCAACAAACGAGATATACTGTCTCTAAAATGGACGGACTGCCACCAGTACAATTTTCCATCAAGGTATATAAATATTGCTCCATATACACAGGCAATTGTCTCGTATGTGTGTGTGTATGCGAGTCTCATGTGTGTAGTATTATAAGTATACTACACACATGAGACTCGCATACACACACACATACGAGACGACTGCCTGTGTCCATACAGCCTTATAGGCCTATTGTTGTACTGAGAACAGATATATATAATATATACATTTATATTATATTAGAGGTGTGTCAAAAGTTATAAATATGTCGTAGGAGAGATACTCGGGGAGGGGTAATTGAATTCCTAGGAAACAATTACAATATGGTATGGTGGGTCAATCTAATAACCG